AAGAATGTGTTTGCTTCCCCTTCTGCCAGATTGTAAGTTTCCTGAGGCCTCCCTAGTCCTGTGAAACTGTGAGTCAAACCGCTTTCCTTTATAAATTACCCAGTCTCCCGTATATATTTATTAGCAGCATGAGAATGGACTAATACAGTAAATTGGTACTGCAGAGAGTAGGGGGGCGGAGCTGCTGTAAAGATACCCAAAAATGTGGAAGCGAGTTTGAAACTGGGTATCAAGCAGAGGCTGGAACCATTTGGAGGGCTCAGAAGAAGACAAGAAAATGTGGGAAAGTTTGGAACCTCCTAGAGATTTAGAGGGCTCAGAAGACAGGAAGATTTGGGAAACTTTAGGACTTCCTAGAGATTTGTTGAATGGCTTTGACCAAAATGCTGATAGTGATATGAACAATGAAATCCAGGCTGAGGTGGTCTCAGATGGAGATGAGGAAATAGTTCGAAACTAGAGCAAAGGTGACTCTTATTATGCTTTAGCAAAGGGACTGGTGGCATTTTGCCACCAGAGATCTGTGGAACTTTGAACTTGAGAGAGAGAATTTAGGGTATCTGGTGGAAGAAATTTATAAGCAGTAAAGCATTCAAGAGGTGATAGAGCATAAAAGTTTGGAAAATTTGCAGCCTAATGATGCAGTAGAAAAGAAAAACCCATTTTCTGGGGATAAAGTCAAGCTGGCTGCAGAAATTTGCATAAGTTATAAGGAGCCAAATGCTAACCACCAAGGCAATAGGGAAAATGTCTCCAGGGCATGTCAGAGACCTTTGGGGAAGCCTCTCCATCACAGACTGGAGGCCTAGGAGGGAAAAATGGTTTCCTGGGCTGGACCCAGGACCCCCCAGTTCTATGCAGCCTTGGGACATGGTGCCTGGCATCACAGCTGCTTCACCTCCAGCCGTGGCTAAAAGGTGCCAACGTACAGCTCAAACCGTGGCTTCAGAGGGTGCAAGCCCCAAGGCTTGATGACTTACATGTGGTGTTGAGCCTGTGGGCGCATAGAAGTCAAGAACTGAGGTTTGGGAACCTCGACCTAGATTTCAGAGGTTGTATGGAAATGCCCAGATGTGCAGGCAGAAGTCTGCTACAGGGGCAAAGCCCTCATGGAGAATCTGCCAGGGCAATGCAGAAGGGAAATGTGGGGTTGGAACCTCCGCACAGAGTCCCCACTGGACCACTTCCTAGTGGAAATATGAGAAGAGGCCATTGTCCTCCAGACCCCAGAATGGTAGATTCACTGACCACCTGCACCATGCATGTGGAAAAGCTGTGGGCACTCAAAGCCAGCCCATGAATGCAGCCAGGATGGGGGTTGTACCCTGCAAAGCCACAGGAGTGGCACTGCCCAAGGCCATGGGAGCCCACCTCTTGCATCTGCATGACCCGGATGTGAGACATGGATTCAAACAAGATCATTTTGAAACTTTAAGATTTATTGACTGCCCTATTGGATTTTGGACTTGCAAGGGGCCTGTAGTCCCTTGGTTTTAGCCAATTTCTCCCATTTGGAACAGGTATATTTACCCAATGCCTGTACCTAGGAAGTAACTCACTTATTTTTGATTTTACAGGCTCCCAGGTGGAAGGGGCTTGCCTTGTCTCAGATGAGACTTTTGGCTTGGACTTTTGGGTTAATGCTGCAATGAGTTAAGACTTTAGGGTGCTGTTGAGAAGGCATGGTTGTATTTTGGAATGTGAGGACATGAGATTTAGGAGGGGCCAGGGGTGGAATGATAGGATTTGGCTGTGTCCCCACACAAATCTCATTTTGAATTGTAGTTCCCATAATCCCCACATGTTGTAGGAGGTCCCAGGTAGAAATAATTAAATTATGGGGGTGGCTTCCTTCATCCTGTTCTCATGACAGTGAGTTCTCATGAGATCTGATGGTGTTACAAGGAGCTTTACCTCCTTTCCTTGGCACTTCTCCTTGCTGTCACCATATGAAGAAGGATGTGTTTGCTTCCCCTTCTGCCATGATTGTAAGTTTTCTGAGGCCTCCCCAGCTCTGTGGAACTGCGATTCAGTTAAACCTCTTTCCTTTATAAATTACAGAGTCTCAGGTATATCTTTATTAGCAGCTTGAATGTGGACTAATACACTTCCTTAGGATTCCCTGTGCTTCATTTTGGTCCAGTAATTAAGATTTGACATCTAGTATGCTACCCCAATCCCAGCACAATTCTGATTGGTTGGTACCAACCTGTTCTTAATTATTTTAAATATTATTACCCCTTTGTACCTGGTGGAAGAGTGGTGGTTCTCAAGCTTCTATTACTCTTTAGGATCAAAACAGCTGACTGAGTTCACCAAAGAACTCTCAGATTATGACCCCCCAGGTGGTTATAATCTGCAGGCTGGTTAAGAATAGTTGTGTTAGAGGAATGTAGCTGAAGGATATGGCCTGTTATTTGAAAGGGACTCACCAGTTACATAATGAGACCCTTGTTTGGGGAAGGAGTAACTCTAAGCCAGTGGGTCTCGATCTTGGCTGCCTATTGGAATGAAGAATAAGGAAAAAAAAAAAAAACAAACAAACAAAGCAATACCAGGATGTTATTCCAGATATTCCAATTTAATTGGACTGGAGTGTGGCCTGGGCACTGAGGTTTTATTTATTTATTTATTTTAACACTCTCCATCCATTTTAATGTGCAGCCAAGTCGAGACTCACTGCTTTAAGCAGAGAATAAACCAAGTTAGAACACCTAGCCTTGAGAGTATGTATTAGAGGCTTGAAAGTAGAAAAAAAGGATATATTGATAACATATGTGTATGTGTGAGACAGAGAGCAAGAGACAGAGCGAGAAAGCATGTAAACTAAATTAACTAAATAAAGGGATATAGTATAAAATGACTCAAAGGTAGATTTTCTTAAGATTTTCCTAGATCCTAGCAACTGCATTGTTATCATTTGGTTTTCTTTAATGTGTCTCCAAGTGATTGACAGATTGGACAATTCTGATCATGAAGATTCTGGTCTCTAGGAGTCCAGAATGTACAGAGCATTATTAAAACAGCTCAGCCTACTAATTACAGCTTCCCTCCCTCTTTGCAGCTTCTTTTCCTAACTCTGCACTGCAGGCCCAGTATATTTTGTAACCCCCCAAATCTCACTTGCAGACAGAATTGTGACATCAACTCTTTATTTTCTGGTGTGGTTTGGAATTAAATCATGGTGAGAACTAATTTCACAACCCCGGGGCAAGTCTTGGCTGTTTGAGTAACTCTTAACTTTGCAGCTTTAATAAGTGCTCATTGTCTAAATGTATGCCGATTTCTTGGAACTGAATTTCTATTTTGAATCTAACTTTGTACTGTCAATACCCTCCAGACAAATACCACCAGGAACACACCTGTAATCAAATAAATTGAGTTTATAATTTATTGCAGAAGGAGAACATATACCATAGGAAACTATGGGGTGTCTCAGACAGGGTGTTAGAAAGACCCTCTTACAGTATTAGGACTTTGGTTGAGTGATGTCAGAGAGGGTCCACAAAGCAGGTGTTCACTCTAGATTGAACGCTGTCAGAAAGTGGGGGCAATTCTATAATTGGGTATCTTAATGAATCTTATTTATAGAGATGGTAGATTAATTATAAAGTAGCAGTCACACATTTTGGCCAAAAGAGGAGATATCTGGTATTTTGTGGGTAGTGTAGTGACCTTGGTTTTCTTTCCTTGGATAAAATTATGAAGTGGACTTGTTTTACCTCGGTTTATCATGGTCTCAGAGTAATCTTGTTTGATGTTGGTATTCTGTGAGACTGTTTATGTTTAACAGGAGAATAACTTGACGTAACTGTGTGTGCTAGACCAGCTTCTGGGGGCCAGGGCTGCCTTTCCCCTGCTACTTCTCAGTAGTGTGCTTTGTTGTTGTTGTTGTTGTTATTGTTGTTGTTTGTTTTGTTTTTTGACAAAGTTTCACTGTCATCTAGGCTGCAGTGCAGTGGTGTGATCACAGCTCACTGCAGCCTTGACTTCTTGGGTTCAGGTAATTCTGCCACTTCAGTCTACCTGAGTAGCTAGGATTATAGACATGCACCATCAAACCCAGTTAATTTTTTTGTAGTTTTTGTAGAGATGGGGTTTCACTATGTTGCCCAGGGCTAGTTTCAATTCCCTGGGTTCAAGTGATCTGCCCACTTTGGCTTCCCAAAATGTTGGGATTACTTGCCTGAACTACTGTACCCAGCCCTGCATGGTTACACTGCCCAAAATCCCAGTTTCTTTCTAAAACTAATGCTACAGCTCTTTTACTGCTGTAGTTCAACAAGTTCCGAGTTCTTGTACCACGACTGAGAAGAATGAGGTACACAGACACCAGAAAGTGAGTAAGGCAGAATAAAATTTATTGAGCAACAAAAATGCTCTTGACGGTGAGAGAGGACCTGAAGGTGGGTTGCCAGCCATGAGGTTAAGTCTAGGGATATGTATGAGGATTGAAATGGGGAAGTGCGTGCTGGTTGGTCTATGGGTATGTTTGAAAAAGCACCATTCAGAAATAGGCACAATAGTGTAGAGGACCTATTGGGGAAGGGTATGCATACGTAAAATAGGTGAAGGAAAAGGACCAATTTGGAAAGAGCATGCCAAACGGAATGCTCTCAGTCTGGTTTGTGGATTTACACTTTGGTTTTCAGGTTTTAGATTGTCCTTGGCTTGAAGGTTGAGTTTCCCTGGGGACCCATCCCTTTCTGCCTAGGAATTTACCTGCTGTGGTGATGGTGGTTCTGTAGCCACTGCAGAGGATGGGATAAAGTTCTGAAAGCCTAAAAGCTGAGCTCACACTGCAGCCTGCCACTTTGGTTCTATCTTGTCAAGCTTCCTTCCCAATAACTGAATGGGGCCCACTGTTACCAACTCTTACTTCCATTAAACTTGTTCTAACAACCTTACTGAACAAGCCAGTGATTCTGCTGGCCCAGTCTGTGAAACTCTGGTAGTTGCATGAAGCTTGTTGTGGTGACCAGAATTCCTCTTCTTTTCAGCACATCACCACCTTCTGCTGGCTGTACAATGCTCTCCATCCTACAGGACTCACATCCAGGTGAGTTTATGTGAGAAGAAACCCTTATTTTATTTTTTGAGACAGAGTTTCACTCTTGTCACCCAGGCTGGAGTGCAATGGTGCAATCTGGGCTCACTGCAATCTCTGCCTCCCGGATTCAAGTGATTCTCCTGCCTCAGCCTCCTGAGTAGCTGGGATTATAGGCATGCACCACCACACATGGTTAATTTTTGTATTTTTAGTAGAGATGAGGTTTGAACATGTTGGTCAGGTTGATCTTGAACTTGAACACTTCAGGTGATGTGCCCAACTTGGCCTCCCAAAGTGCTGGGATTACAGGCGTGAGCCACTGTGCCTGGCCTGAAACACTTATATTGAGTCAAAATTTGTCTCTTTAAACCTCTCTTCTAACTTTGTTTTGTTTCTGTATGACAGCCCTTTAGCCTTTTTATTGATTACATGTTGGCTGAATAAATAAATCGTCTCCAAAATACCAGCATTTAGTAATATGTAGCCTTTTCTTTTGTTTAGAAAGCTTGGAATATTAAAAACAAATGTGAAATATATGAAAAAGGAATAAGGAGGAGGCATGGGGCAGATGTGAAAGAAAGAAGGCAATTTTAGAAAATGGAGATAGTGGTAGACAAACTTTCTTTCTTTCTTTTTTTTTTTTGAGACAGAGTCTTGCTCTGTCACTCAGGCTGGAGTGCAGTGGCGCCATCTCAGCTTACTGCAACCTCTGCCTTCTGGGTTCAAGCCATGCTCCTGCCTCAGCCTCCCGAGTAGCTGGGACTACAGGCACCCGCCACCATGCCTGGCTAATTTTTTGTATTTTCAGTAGAGACGGGGTTTCACTGTGTTAGCCAGGATGGTCTCCATCTCCTGACCTCATGATCCACCTACCTCGGCCTCCCAAAGTGCTGGGGTTACAGGCGTGAGCCACCGTGTCTGGCCCATGGTAGACAAACTTTCAACAAAGAATGAGAAACAAAGGGAATCATGGGGCCTTTACAGTTGCCTAATCTTTCTAACTCAACTTCCTGCTTGAAAAAAAATTTCCTGTGACTCTCTGCAATAATTACACAGTCAGCCAGGAATGCTGGATGGTCACATCATAGGGAATATTAAACAGAAAAACAATAATAAAAAGAATGTGTATGACAGGAAGAAAGAAAGCAATATTAGAAGCATCCCTGCAAAGAGAACAGATGCAAAGATTTTTCCATTGTTGTGGAAAGACACTTGAAATGCAAAAACAAGGCCAAATGACTCGCTCAAGGTCACCTGAGACCTCAGGGTAGAATGAGAGAGTAAATTATTGTCACACTCTATCCACCAGACCATGATGTCTCAGTAGCAGTGTACCTGCAGGCTAAAGTCACGTGTTGCGTAGTTAGCACGCTGCTCCCGGCCAGACTTGAAAATAGCAGAATCACTGTTTTAGGAGAAAGATTTAAAGCTGTCATTAAAGAATCCAAGTAGCTGTTTTTGTAAGTACATAAATATCTTTAGTATGGGGAGGCAGAATTAGGTCTTGATAGCCATCTCACAAATGTTGACTATAAATGTTTGGTTAGCGACAAGTCTGGCTAAAAAGGAAATAGAATATTTATGAACTGTCATGAAAAAGAATCTCTGCAAGGTTCACATTTAGACAACAGTGCAATGAAGGCAATCTTATGAGTTATTCACGAGAATTGTCTTGGGAACAAGATCTATGGTGATTCTGAGGATTACCTATATAAATAAAGTCAAATTGGGAAGGTGGGCCATTCTGTTTTTACACAGAAAAAATCATTTGGGTTTCTAAGACACTATCTAAGATGTACTAAAATGGAGATTATCACTTGCTTATTTTCTTGAAAAACAATTAACATAGTAACATAGAAGAGTAGTGGCCAATAGATTCCAAACCAGAAGGAACATTTATAGAAGCACACACGCACATAAAGACTCCACAAGTTACTTACATTACCTTTATAGTATTCCTAATTATTATAGTGGTTTGAAAGAGACCAAATGTAACATCTAAATACAAAAGATTAGACTTATAAATGACAAGGTTTTACTGACCCCAATATTCTGTAAGGTTGAAAACAAAGTACAATTGATTTTAATGATATGCCTGACATAATGCAGGTCTTTGTTGTACTTTCTATCAGATTGCAATTCTGCCTGTCTTGAAATAATAATGGCATTCTTTATGAAGCCATTTGATTAACTAGAATCATGAGCTTTGCAGGAGGAAATGAATAGTGGCAAGAATGACTTGCTTTCTGAGTAAACATAGCCTAGAAAAATGTTTTCCTGGGAGAGCACTCTCCATTCTCCACCTCCGCTGGTGTGTCCTCTGACTAAGTAGTTCGTGTACTGCACCACTGCCCAGAATATTCTTAAGACAGCGTCCCACCCCACCCCACCTCATCATGCTCTTCCAGGACAGCTACAGGAAGAAAAGGAGATAACAGAATCTAATGATGTCCCATAACATCTCCAGTCAAGGTGTGAACATGAAGCTCCAGTGAGTAATGTGGTGTCTCACATCTATAAATGCCTTATGTGTGACTAATGCATTCTTGAGACATGTCCAGGACAAGTAGAATTAAGTCTTGATGGCTGCCTCTGATGATCACACCCTCATCAGCAGTCTGATCTATGCTTTGTTTGCAAACCCGGACCTTGTTGTGGCCTGCAACTCCCCACGGGCTCTCTCCCCAGCTGTCAGGCCTCTTCTAAAACACACTTCCCCTTTAGAGAGGGCCATCTTCACTCCTGTTAGAACCTCACACCCCGAGAGACTTTCCTCTCACCAGCTGGTTTTGACTGTGGCAGAAATGTTGTTGACATAGCAGATGGTCTTGATATTTCTGAAAACCGGCAACATCTTTGCCATTGCCACCCCCACACTCTTGGCTACTGTTTCTCCTTCAAGTAGTTTGGGTCATTTTTAGCAAACCTGTATGTTCCAATATTTTTTCTTAAATATCAAAACGGGGACAGTGTAAGGCAAAAGTCTCCTTCTAAAATAGAGACCAAGGCAGAATATGAGGGCTCTTTCACAGAAAACTCAAAAGCTGAAATAAATTCTATTTTTAAACATAGATTCTTTGATGAATGAAAATGAGCAAGAAGTGAGCAGATTTTAAATATTTGTGGTCTGAAGTATCAGGCAGTCAGGTGTGGCTAATGGATTGTGCTACAAGAAGTAAAGTCATATATTCATGGTGTTTGAAACCTTTTAAAACCATATACCAATGAGTAATGTATATTCTTACTGAACACAAGATGACTTGAGAGAAGGGTGAGTGCAACTGGATTAGAGATTATTCCTTAGTAGTAACTCTAGAGCCAAAGCAAATCAAAGACACCATAACAACGTGATGACTTGGGATCCAATCCAGTCATCCCGAAAAATTAAAATCAGACTGATTTATTATTTGCTCCATGCAGGCTTGGAGCTTGCTTGCTCCATGCAGGCAGGCACTGTGAACAGTCTCTTAAACTCACTAAATAATGGTCTAAACAGCTCTGCTTCATTTGGGAGATATCTGTACAATTTTGGAAAATGCTTATTCTCCTGGAAAGGACTTTCACACAGATGGGATGTAAGCATGAGCAGTGGAGGTCCTGCCAGGTTCAGTCAGCCTCTTCAGTCAACATCACTATCCAGGCCTGTAGCACTCACAATTGAGAGTGTCATTTGGATTGGCTAACAAAGGACAGGTGAGAATTCTGCCTCCAAAATGTCACAGTTAAAACACAGCTTACTAGATACAAATCCTGCATTCTCTTTTTTTTTGTTTTGTTTTGGATTGCAAAAATTTATTAAAATTGGAGACACTGTTTTAATCTTCTTGTGCCATGAGACTCCGTCAAGCTGTCTACAGAGAACATTGGGAGGCTGAGGATCACTTGATCCCAGAAGTCTGAGGCTGTAGTAAGCCTCAAAGGGCCACTGCACCCCAGCTTGGGTGAGGCAAGACCCTGTCTCAAAAAATAAGAGACTTTTAGCCACATTTTCAGACTTCAATTAAAATGCTACATAGGAATGCAGAATATCAGATCTTTTATTGTCATCAAGTAATCAGTGAGAGAAAATCTTGCATTCTCACAGTAATATCAATGATCCCTACAGCAGTGAAATGTGGAGCTAATTGATTCCTTTCAATGCCAAAAGCAGGGTCCTAAGGATGAGAACCCAGTGGAGTTCTCCTTCAAGTAGTTAGGGTCATGGATGGGGTATATAAAAATAATGGGAGGAATCTGTGAAAGTGTAAACATGGCATGTCCCAAGTAAGGCAAGCTGAGTGAGGAACACCAATTTGGGCGTCAGGTGTATGGTGGGGTGGGATGGCAAGAGGACTCACGCATGGCACAAGAGAGTAGAGAGGGTAATGAAGGGATTGTCATGAGAAGCTAGGGGCGGAGAAGCACTGGGTACATGATGTGTTATAATTTCTAGTTCCTTCTTGCTTTGTTGACTACACTAGTAGGGTCTCCAAAGGAACAAGTACTTGAAATAAAAGGTTCTTTTCATAATGGAAAATGACTTACTTATAAAAAGTATTCTGTAAACCCTACCATCAATCTGGCTTATCTTCAAGCACAGAAAAGCAAGATAAGAGAACTGAGACAATGTGAAAAACAGTTAATAACTAGATGAAATGGACACCAAATCAATCAGAAGAGACCTAGAGCTAATTTGCTAGATAATGGGGAGGTCAGGAGGACCCAGCAGTGGTGTGGGAGGGGATTTGGGATAATTTTAAGGGTACCAAATAATTTCAATATGTTAATACAGAGTCACACCAGTTAAATACAAGCCCTGAAGATAATCAACATTTCTTATAAGTCATGTCTTATAATAGAAATATTTAATAAAGTTTATAGAGCCAAGGAAAGAGCCCATATCTGGGACCCTTCTCACTTGTTAAAGGCTCCTTACTCATTATCAACCTACATCTGTCAACCAAGTGAAACAAGTATAAAATAAGAATTCTCCTACATCTTTCCTCATTAATGGAAGACAGTAGCTTCAA